GATGATCGCGCAGACCCCTAAATTTTCAGCCTTTTCGACGGCCGCGCCCAGCCCGCCGTCTGGGTTGTCAAAGACGGGAAGCTCGCAAATCATGGCCTGAGGCATGTGCGCAGACGAGGGGGAGCCTGGGGACGCACTGGAAGAAGAAAAGGAGGAGGAGGAGGAGGAGGAGGAAGGCGAGGAGGAGGAGGAGCAGATGAAAAAGGAGAAGGAGGAAGGGAGGAACACCGAGCGGGGAGAAGGGCCGAAAAGCCTGCCATACCCATCCAGTCTGGCGCCACGAATTTGGCGGAGATATCATGCCCCCCGCCATGATATCCCCCCTAGTCATCACCCCCTCCATGGGAACAACGACTGCATATGCACAGCATAGATAAACGCTTGGCAGTCCGCGCGGACTCTCGCACATCTGTGTTTGTGTAGCTGGTTCTGCTTCGGCCCTTGCCATCACGGGCAAGCAGCTGAGAAAAAACTCAGTACCTACAACGCGGCATTTTTCTTCGGCCAAACGCACGTACTCGTCAGTGAGCCAAAGGTGCGACGGTCGGAACGAAAAACAGGAAATAACAATAATTCTGTCGGCGAGACGCTGAACAACCTCGTCTGGAAACACGCCCCCTGGTCATCGCCCCCCTTCTGGGACGCCCCCGACGAATGTCTGCGACCACCCGTCGCTCGTTTTCGGGTCACAACTCGGGTCTTTGGCGCCCGCCCGGGACGATCCGAACACCCCGGGAACGCTCTTGGCGAGCTGCAGCTGCTGGAGCGCATCCCAGGGGCTGGAAAGCAGCCGAGAGCAGACGAAAACATGGGAAACGCCGAACCTGGTCGAACGTCAAAGGAATCAGGGTGGGAACCCTCCCCCCCCCTCGGCGACTCCGAAAGGTGCGGTTTGCAAAGGGTGTGGTTTGCAACCGGCACCCTGGGGGGCACCCCGGGGGGCGGGCGAGGACCTCCACAAAGCTCTCTGCCGCGCCCCGAGGAGGCCCGACGAGGACAGTGTCGTGCCCCTCGGGCCCCAACGGCACCGATCGCATCCTTCAAAAACATGGGACCCTCCGCTGGCCCAAACACCCCTAAGCCATAAACATCACTCGAGGGCACTCTCCCCCCAAACACGAAAAATACGAAGGCACCCTCCCCGAACCGACCTCGATCTCATACCTCGGTCCGACCATGAAAAGACAATTCTTCCCTGGACCTCGCCTGGGGCGTGCCCTGACCAACACATCGAGGCGAATCCGGCCGCGACGACGAGACGGGTAGCAGTATCGGCATCTTCTCCTACGATGAAATCCAGGAGAAAGAGAAAATGGATCAGGAAGAAGAGGGCGCGGAGGAGGAGGAGGAGGGAGGAGGAAGAGGAGGAGAAGGAGGAGGAGGAGGAGGGGGAAGAGGAGGAGGGGGGGGAGGATGAGGGGAGGAGGAGGAGGAGGGGGGGGGGATGGCGGGGAGGAGAAGGAGGAGGAGGAGGAAGACGAGGAGGAGGACCAGGAGGAAAAAGAGAAGAAGGAAAGGTAGAGGAGGAGGAGGAGGAGGAGGAGAAGGACAGGACAGGACGCCGACAATCGTCCCGGGGGACGACCCTATAAACAGCACGGCGGCGGCGCCGGAACGCCGAAACACATTGGCTCCATGATGACAGAAAGCGAATGCACGCATTACATAGCGCCGACGCTCCAAACGAGGCCGGTTACGACAGATTGCGGCTATTACTCAGAGATTGCCGCAGTCCACGGGAAGAGGCAGACGAGGAAGGCGAAGAAGAGAGCAAATCCACGTGAAATGGCATTACCTACGCTCGCGAAGAGGCCGGCCAAACGCCAACAATGGATCACGACAGAGGCTATGAGGGAGGATGCGTTTTTCAACTCAGGGCCCACGCTCCTCGGGAGGCTGACCATGAAACGAATGATGGCGCACGTGTTCGTTATTTTCTTGCCACGAACTGCCAGCGAGAGAGAAACTTGGAAGTGCCAAGCGAGCTTTTTTCAATATGTATGCCCAACAATGCGGAACTTTGATACTTCACGGCCGCATGAGAAAGTACCATCGGCATTGGGTTCGGTGTCTTTCAGCACGATACCATTACGTCCGTTTTCCCAAACCTCAGATACTGTGGAACAAGTCAAACATGTTTGGCCACAATTTGTTATAAGATGAATGCGCCCTTCTGGCACTGATTCCACCAGCATGCCTGTCTCTAGGTATCTTTTGCAACCAAGGATGATCAGCGAACCGGCTTCGCCGAAATAGTTCAATTTACTCCAGTTTTCCCTGGCCTTCGCTACAAAGCAAAGCGCTCGCTTGCTTCACGCGCGAGCATAGGACGTTGAAACTTGGATATGCCATCCCATTCGTCATCACATGATGTCGCACTGCATAAGATAATAATGTTGCCGCCGTCAACAAACTGATTCGCCACGCCGTGCCAATATGTCAAAACGCATTCATCCGTATACGAACGACTTCCTTTCAAATCCAACTCTGGCTCATGTTCATGCGTGTCCTCAAGAAGGCAACCGGTAACAACTCGATCACATACAGCTTCCAATTTCAGAGAATCAACTAACATAGAGATTTGTTCTAAACGCCACATCCGCTGGCACACGTTTTCCAAAATCAGTTCCGCCCCAATGGTTTCAAGTTGCTTGTGCTCTCGCTCCAAAGTGTCAACTCGGTCAGTCAAATTCCCCACCATCAACGCGAAATGATCCAACTTACTGTTGATATCCGCGACTTCAATGCTCCACGCGCGCTCTGATATTTTCGACGAGTGCTTGTGCGGCATTAATTTCACCTCCACCTTTTTATGTTGCCACGCACCGGCCAGTCACTGTGCTGGCGGCGATCCACACCAAGAAGCAGAATTAGCGAATAGGCGACAAAACTCAATGGCTCATGCACACTCTACGTATGAATACAGTATTCTGCGGAAGCGATGGGCGGATGAGCAACAAAATCCCTTGACCCTTGACGAGGAGGAGGAGGAGGAGGAGGAGGAGGAGGAGGAGGAGGAGGAGGGTACCGAGGGCACTGACAACTCGGGCACGTCATGGTGCCCCTTGCCACGCGGCATCTTCAGAGCTGAATCGCTATCGATAAGCTCGGGTGCCTCCTTCTGAGACCTCTGGCAGGACCTCCCCCACTGCACAAGATCGTCAGGCGAGGCGAAGCCATGCAGCTTGGCGACTGAGACAGCCTGCAGGCCCCGAAAGAAGAGGAGGCGAGACCCCCCCCCAACACCAGATCCTCTGGAAACAGGGATCTCGTGACTGCCAGCCGATCCCTGTCCTCCAACAGACTCGCTGTCAGGGCCCCCCGCAGCAGCAGCAGCAGGAGCAGCAGAGCCCCCACCAGCGTCAAGCACAGGACCCAAAACAGTTTTCATCGCAAGGGTCGGTCCAAAGGCAGGGCCCACCCTGGCTTTGCCATGGGCGTGCCCTGGGAACAACGCCCGTTTCAACTTCGACCGCTGGGTCTTGAGGCCAGGATGCTTAGAACCCTTGCGCTCCTCTCTGAGGCCTCGCGCCGACGTGTGCACCGAGGCCCCACAAACTCTGCAAAACAAAATATCACTTAAGTCCTTGCCCTGGTCAGTGACAGAGGCTTGCGTTAGTGAGTGGCCCCTGACAACCCAGGGGGCACCAGAGGCAGAGACAAAGGAATCATCAACTTCCCCCGACTCAGCAGACCCAGTCTCAGTGGGCGGAGGGGGGAGGCCAAGAGGGGGGGGGGGGGAGGAGGAGGAGGAGGGGGAGGGGGAGGAGGAGGAGGAGGAGGAGGAGGAGGAGGAGGACGCGGCGAATGAGGCGAATTAGAAAATCGAGCATGCTCCCTCGCTAGCCGCAAAAGGGGGGGCGGAAGCCGAACCCAGGGGCGGCGCCGAGGAGGGGCCGCCCCCCCACCCCCCGAGCCTTGGAATGCAGATCAAGAGCCCCATGGAACTCCTCGGTCCCCCCCTCGGCCCACGGGGCCCCTCGAGCTCTCCTCGGGCTGCGCGAAGCTCTCGGGGATGGACTCGGACTCAGCCTGCGAGAGCGGGCCCTTGGCCCCGCTTGCCTGCGCCGTGCCGTCGAGGAAGCCGACGGCCGCCTGGGCCCTGCTCGCCGACCTCCGCCGTGAGCGCCCCCAGCACACCAAGAGCACGCAGCCTCGCCACCGGCTGCACCACGGCCGCCGCGTGGCTGCCCGGCTTCGGCTGCAGGGCCTCCTGAGTGCGCCCTCCGCCGACGTCAGAGTGCTGGACTCCAGCTTCACGCCCCCCGCACCATGACCACCGCTGGGAGGCGCCGCGGCTCCACGACCTCGCACTGCTTCAAGGCCTCCTCCAGGGATGGCCACTCTTCCTTGCGCGCCGCACCCGACGCCGCCACGACAGGCCACTGGCGCTCCATTTGCGCGCGTGCTTCTTCTGGTTCTGCGCCCAAGGTGCCGAGAAAAACTTGCTGGGGCTGCGCTGCGGCTTGGGCTTGGGGTCCAACAGCTGCGCCTCCTCCTTGTCCCTTGTCCTTTTCCTACTCCTCGGGGGGCCTCCTTCACAAGGAGGCTGGGCAGCGTCGCGAGGCCCACCAGCGACGCCATCGCCTTGCTCATCCACTCCTGTGTCTCCGCCAGGGCCTCACTCTTCGCCAGCTCGAATAGGTCGGGCTCCTGCTCGGAGAGGCTGGGCTGCGCCGTGAAATCCACCTGCTGCGCCGAATCCTGGTTCGCCGTCTCCTTGCACACGTTCTGCTTCGCGTAGCGCTGCCAGCGAGTGTGCTTCACGACCTCTGGGAAGCCCTCCTCCTCCTGCTCCTCCGTCTCCGGCGCCCTGGCCGAGATGCCCTGGAGGATGTTCAGCGCCGCCTCCTGCGGCTGGGGCCTGGCCCCCCACCGCCCGGGCGGTGGCGCCAGGCTTGCCGGCGGCGACGTGCAGCCCAGCCCGAAGATCTTCACGGACACCGTCGGCCGCTTCTCGGGCCGACCTGATTCTCCCCACAGCTCCTCGCCGACACCACCGGCTGTTCCGCGAGGCTGTCCTGCTGCATCTCCGCGAGTTGCGGAGCTCCCCAGCACCACCCCGACGAGCTCCCCAACACCGCCTTGAGCTCCTTCATCAACTTCGGCACCTGTTTGCTGGGCTGCTTCCACGGCTTCGCGATGCAGTCTTGCATCTCGCCGAGCACGTCCACCGATGCCACGAGCAGCTCCAGCTGGAGCAGCGACGTCGGGCCCTCCGAGCCTTGCAATGACCGGGTGGCCCTCGCTGGCGACCTCTGCGAAGCCGTCGCCGCCGTCGCCGATGTAGTACTCGCCGCCCAGTGCCCTGCCGACACTCGGCTGCGGCGAGGAGGTGTCAGCGGCGCGGCCATCAGTGACAAGCTCCGCCTGCTCCACGCTGGCGCCGTCCAGAAAGGCCGACAGACGTCTGCCGAACTCCCGCGAAAGGCTCGCGGAACCCAAGTGGATGACCAGGCGGTTCACGCCGCCTCGCGCATCGCCAAAGCTCCGAGCCGCTGCGCCGCTTCCAATCGCGTGCCCGAACAGCCCCCCTGGGGGAGGCGTGAAAATTGCTGAAGAGGAGGAGGAAGAGGAGGAGGAGGAGGATGGTGGCGGTGGGCACTGCATCTCAGAGTGCTGGGGAAGAACCCCCGCAGGGCGACAAGCGATGCACACAGTCACAATGATAGCAGAGAGCGATGACGGCACTGAGAGGAGAAGGCAGAAAGCGTCCGCGAACGAATTCGAGGAGGCCGAATTACGTCCCTGAGCGAGGAGTGCGAGGCATGACACACTGGCAGCCTGTCCCAGTCACATCGGAGGGACCACGCACAAGCGAGGCTGGCACGAGACGCACAGGAAAGACGGCGACGACACAATCGTGCAATGCAAGAGGAAAAAATGGCGCGGCACAAGCAGATGGGTGCATCACTCAGAGGAGACGCCTTCTTCCCGCGCAACAACTCCCGAGGGGCCTGTCCCGAGGCAGCTGAAGGAGCCGTCGAAGGGGACGCCGGCGGCAGGGAACGGCTGGTCCACGCACAGGGCGAGCGCGGAGGAGAGCGATGTCCCAACGAAGAATCGACAGCGCACTTGCCGAGCTATCCAATCAGAGCTGTGCCAGCCTGTCCACAAAAACTTTGAGGCCCTCGATGTCCGCGGCGATGATCGCGTCGAACGTGTCACCGACCAACTGATGGCGGAGGCGGGCGATCGTGAGCTTCTTCTTCGCAGCGTGGACCGTGAGGCGGGTCTCCGTCACCATGGACTCGGCCTCGCGAAGGAGCTGGCCAGCCTTCTCCCTGACGGACGGGTCGTCGACCAGCACGGCGGCCCTCGCCCGCAGTACTTGGGAGTGTCCCTCGAGCTGGGAGAGCTGCTCGCGAAGGTGGGCGTCCTCCTCCAAGAGCGTGTTCATCACGATCTGCGTCCCTTGCAGCACGTATGGCTTCAACGCGAGCACGCGTGGGGCGAGCTCGGGGAACTCCTGGATTTTGTAGGCCATGGCGATCCGGTCGCGTTTGTCGGCATCCTTGAGCAGGGCCTCCCACGCCGAATCTGCTGCACTCATTCTCTCAGTTGTTATCGTAGACGGACGTGGCTGGTCTGAAGGCGAACGCACCTCCTCGTCGATATCGGGCATTTCGGGCCGAGGCTCCACGACTGGCGGTGGGGTCGACGCTGGGGCGGCGGCCTGTTCAGGACAGCCAGGGTCCTGTTTCTGGTCCACGGACAGGTCAGCCAGCAGGTCGGGGACGGGCTCCGCATCGGTGACGAAGTAGATGCCCTGGTCGGGGAACGGGTCGCTCCAGAGTTCCGCCACGATGATAGGTCCCGCGCTGGCGTCGTCATTGGACGGTGGGTCTGGATGGACGTTCTCCGTCTCGCTGTTCAATGATTGTATGAAGGAGCCTGTGCACCCGCGGGCATGTCGTTCATCTCGGCGAAATCGGGCGCAGTGAAGTACGGGTTCTCGTCCACGTGCGGCACGACATACGAATGGTCCCTCGCCGTCTGCTCCGCCCGCAATGCCATGGTCTGCACCGCGTTCTGCAAGGTCGCCGTGCTTACATCCTCGAACTGGCCAGGGGTGGAGGTCTCAGGCTCGGCGACGAGGGCGTCTAGGACCAGGCGCGCCCTGGTCGAGACTCTGATCTGCTGCTGGAGCAGCGCCAACTCGGTCTTGACCTGCTGCATCTCCTGAACAAGCTCGCGGGTAGCCTTCCGCGCCATCACCAGATCAGGCGGAAGCGGTCACGTGGATGGAGGCAGCTGAAGGTCTGGAAAGAGAGAGAGAGAGAGAGAGAAACCACGGATACGGACGAGCCGCCTGACTCGTTGCCTGCTCAGGCCAAAACGACTTGAGCCAAAATGGTAGGAGGAGGAAGGGAGGAGGAGGAGGAGGAGGAGGAGGAGGAGGAGCGAGGAGGAGGAGGAGCGAGGAGCGAGGATGAGTGGGAGAAGGAACAGGACGCGGAGGAGGAGGAGGAGGAGGAGGAG